ATAGTTGTATAAAACAATCAAATGAGCAAAATGCTTTCAGATATAAGCATTTCCTTACGTATTTCCCTCTCTAGCTGTAATTCCTTGCATTATACTTTTGTTGGTGCAATAAAAACTGCCTACATACTTAAAGGAGTCAAACATCGCTCCCAAATCTCCGTTTCGAAGATTATCTACTTTACAAAATGCACCATAAAAAAATTGATAGCTATGGTGTGATTGTGTAATTAAGATGACGTACGCACTTAAATAACAATAAAAGTGACTCTGAAGTTTTTTGCTCAATAATAATCAACTCAACCATTACTAATAAAATAATGCTACGTCTATGTATTGGCAAATAAAACAATTTATACCACTCTTAATCTAATATCAATGCCGTAGTATACTGTTGTCACATCTCTCTTTACTCAACTAACATATAGCATATTTGCTGTCTTTAGCGGTATTGTTGTAAATATGTAAAACATGCGCACATTAAATGTCGAATGCACATGGCTCAGGATCGGAAATGCTTAGTCATACTTGTTTTGCAAATTCAGCCAAATCCATGAAAATAATTGATTCGTAGATTAAAACTAGCAATACTGAACGATTTTACGCTCGCCCAGTTTGGACATACGCGTGCGGCAACAGCCGTAAGCAGTTACAAACATCTCAGAATTGCATAATGCGATAAAAATCTAACTGCCTATAGTCCGTTCAGAAATTAATAAAATTCACAAGGAATACCTTGTTGCGCAGCTACATGCCTACTATTATTTAATTGTACACACTTTTCATTTAAGCTTCAGGAAAAATAACAATAGCATCATCTCAATATATAACAAGAACTACTGCTCTCCAGAAAATATTAAGAACTTATGTCCATTCCTAATAACCTAACGTAAATACCATACTACTTATGAACCTATTTGAATTTTATCTTTCTATATTAATGTATTTTTCGGTTTCCTATTCTGATTCCATTTACCTCATGCTGTCATTCTTGCTGTGTCATTTCATTCCTTCTTCAAGAACTCTTCTATAATGAATCCGGGTGCATTTCTCGAGCATTTGAACTATTACCATGATAGTGATCAATCATAGCAGTGAATTAAATTTGAAATTTAGCATGTTGTATCTAAATTACTCGAATCTGTATATAATTATAAATTTTACAATCAATTCGACTGAAGTTTCACACTGTGCCTGAGTACTCTGTTGATTACACCTTCATACCGCTATTGACTGTTACTGAAAAACAGCAGCAGCTTCATCATTTTTGTTCATCATCTATATCGCCTCTTAAGATTTTATTAAAAATTTCGCTACACAATAATACTAGATATGTTAAAAATAGAATATTACATATATACTTAGAACAATCTTATACATTAAAAAGAGCATTCTTTACTTTTTAACACTTATGAAAAGTGTAGTTTTGCTTTCAATTTATCAACAAAATATATAAATACAGACAAAACAAAAAGCAAAATATATAATTACAAACATAAATAAATATTAATTGATTTTTTCCCGATATGTTCATATTTTTATAGTATTAAAATCAGATTTAATCGCCCGATCTACAACGTATAAATTTCAAATATTGCCAGACTTATGCTGCGGCAGTAAAAACAACCAGATATTGAAATGAAATGTGCAATACGTTCAGCATATATACCTTTAATTTAAGTTTTTATATTGATCTTCTTAATCTACCTTTTTTTATCTAATTCCCGAGTTCTTAATATGGTTCATGTTTGGTGACAAGGCATTCAAGACGGAATCTACTTTTACTGTCAAATGCTATATGTCTGTTGCACACAGATAATCTGTTTGAGGTTAGTCAGACATGATACAGGGAAGGTAACCATATGTGTTTGATAGTTCTTCGTATATTTTGATGAAAACACTATGCAGTGATGACACTGTGATATCAATTTTATTACCATTTTATTATAGCATTTCCAGGCTGTTTATAACGACACAATATTGTCTTATACAGGACTAGCCCTTTAGTAGCCCTTTTAATGTAACTATGCTTGCTTATTAGAAAAACATACTTACACTTATCCCAAAATATCCCGAAATGGGCAGCCAACTAGTGCATACTGAATATCTGGCATGTTATCAGACGAGATGAACTGTATGAACATATTTTGAAATAGCATTCCATCGTACTAATTTCAGACAATTTCATAGCTGTTTTATTCGAATAAAAAGTGGGATTGTTGTAATTTCTTTCCTTTTCATGAGTACTACACACGACTTAGTATCTTATGCTTCGATAAATCCCTTTGGATTCATCACTTTAAAATTTCGGGGGAAAAAATGTCTTTCCGAAATGTTTCTTATTTTCAGTTTGTGATAAAATCGTGCTTACAGTAAATAGAATATATTGACAATCAAGGACACACAAGATCTTTCGTTTATTTTTAACATTAATATAATTATTTTGCTCAGATAAGGACATTTTCTGCAAATAAAATAATAATGAAAAAAAAAAAATCGCTGAATGGTCAGTTTGCTAGAGAGTTCCATTTCGGATCTCATTATTTATGTTTATATTGATATTGTGAATTTTTGGACAATTTAAATTTTTTTTAGTTTTTTTATTCAACAGAAAATGCATAATCGGAAACCTAAACAGTGTCATGTTATTATGGAATGAAGCATGTGTGTAGACGAATCTAAAAATAATATTTTATTTCAGATGGACTCTTCTTATATACGTCTATGGTTAGCAAGGAAAGCCGAACTGGAAACAATTCATTTTCTCTATAAATATAGTTTTATAATAGCCTGTTACATCTAAACTCCGAACTATCAGCGCCTCCACATCTAAACTCCGAACTATCAGTACCATTACATCTAAACTCGAGAATAATCCTACGTAAGAACGCAGTTAGAACTCTGAACCCGAACTTGAATGACTGTTAGCTGGAGAGCGCGTAATTTTATGTAACCTAATAATTGTATATAAAATTATATAACTGTATCTAAATATAATATCTTTATTTATACAGAAGTGTCAGTCTTTATGAAAAAGCTTGGAATTATTTAGATATTTCATCGAATAAGAATTTGGAATGGAACAAGCTCGGCTGTTCCCGGGTGAAAGAAAAGGTAAGAGATTTCTTTTTACCTTTTAGAATTCTGTTGAGAGATACAACATAAAATTTTGGCATCCCTGCCGGGACGCCCGAGCTAAGAATAAGAATTTAAATTAGACAATAAAGATTAAGAATACAATTATTGATTACATTTTTGAATTTTTGAAACTGTTAAGAACATGTCTGAAGAGATCTTTAAATAAGTTAAAAAAGAAGCGCGCAGCTCTCCGAACATCAGTAACGAAATCGCTTAAAGATTTGGAATCGCAGCTTTCGGAAATTGATCCGAAAATTCATGATTTGGAAGAAAAAATTTAGAAATATTAAAGAATAATTTCGAATCGCTTAAAAGTGTCGATACAGAATTAGAACCTCTTTTTAAAGTCGAAGAATTTGATGCTGAATTCCAAAAATCTGAAGAATATCGTCAAAAGGTCGTTAAATGCAGTTTCCGTACCTCCAAAAGAATCGACGAATTAAAACGCAAATCTACTGAAACGGTAGTAAATAACCAGTTCAGTACTGACAGTCAAAACGAAACAAAACATAACGAGTCTGTTCGAATTAAATTACCTAAGTTAACTTTAACGAAATTCTACGGAGATATAAACAACTGGCTAACCTTTTGGAACAGTTTCGAGTCTGCCATTCATAAAAATGATTCATTAGATAAAATAGACAAATTTAATTATTTGAAAGCTCATTTAGGTGGTTCTGCTTTAAATACAGTCGAAGGATTACCGATTACTGCTGCTAATTACGATTCCGCAATTGATCTTCTAAAAGAAAGATTTGCGAAAACAGATGTGCTCATTTACACTCACATAAATAACATTTTGAACACTAAACCGTTGAAAATCTCGAATGATGTTCGCGCCTTTAGAAAATTTTATGATAATATTTCTATCGAATTAAGATGTTTAGAAAATTTGGGTCAGTCTCTCGAGAATTTATCAAGTGTGTTATGTCCAATAATTCTGAAATCACTTCCCCAAGATATTTTGCTTGAGATTAACAGAATGAGTAATGGAAGTGCATATTGTAATATTAAAAGCCTGTGCTTGATTATAGCTCAATGTTTAGATTCACGTGAAAGAGCGGAAGTCATAAATAAGAATTCAGAGCATTCGACAGCGAATAGTGGGCGCCGTCAGTCTGCGTATGCAGTCCAGAAAATAAAACACTCGTCATTTCAGCGATGGAAAGAGCAATAAATCAGAAACGAAAGCTTCTTCTGCTTCTGATTTAGTGTCCACGGGTATTAAACAAAAATTGATTAAGGCGTGTTTTTTGCGGAGATTTTTCCCATTCAAGCCATAAATGTCCTATTGCCCAGAAACTAACTAATGACGACGAAAAGGTTGAAATACTACGCAAAAATGGCACTTGTTTTAGGTGTTTACAAAATAAGGGTCACATCAGCAAATTTTGTGATTCTAACATTTTTTGCTCCCATTGTCACTCTAAGCATTCTACGATTATGTGCAACAGAATTAATTCCGAGAGTAAAAAGGGAACGATCAAAAAACTGTCCAGGAAGTTGAAAATAAAGTACTTTCGAATCAAAGCAACCGTTCTGAAGTTTATTTACAAACTTTGGTCGTAGGGGTAGCTGGGAAAACCTTAAAGGGTTATTTAAGATTGCTAATAGACACCGGAAGTTCAGAACACGTACATAAGTCAATATGCTGCTAAAACGTTGAAATTAGAAAAGATAGGAACTGAAAGAATTAAAACATGGGTTATTTGGGGGTGTAGAAGAAGTCTCGGAAGATCATAATCGTTATCAAATAGATTTAACTAGTTTAGATGGAAAGTACAGGTGTAAAAATCGAAGCACTAGACCAGAAAAAAATTTGTTCGTCACTACCTAAGATCAAAGACGAAAAGTTAATTAAAGTAATGGAAAAAAGGGGAATCCTTATCAACGACAATCATGCGAATGGAAATCTCTGTCTGTTTCAAGAAAATCCGGAAGAGATTCATATGCTGTTAGGAGCGGACACCGCAGCACAATTGTTCACTGAAAGAATTGAACATTTTGCGGGGGATTACGTAGCCTTTGAGACCAAGTTAGGCTGGACTTTAATGGGCAAGATTAAAGAGAATGCGAATACGTCGAGTTCCCTGTCCGTTCTTTCTTTATCCTTACATGTTTCCGATACAAATTTGTCCAATCTTTGGCGTTTAGACACCTTGGGGATTTCAAGTGAGGAGGAAAAAAAAAACGAAAAAAAGTGCCTTGGAAGAAGAAACCCGAAAACATTTCTTAAAAAGTGTAAAACGAGATAGCTCAGGGAGATATGAAGTAACCTTACCCTTTATTTTAGATAAATCCGTCTTATCCAGTAACCGTACTGTATGGCAGAAAGACACCTCGTCAAAACCGAAAGTAAACTAATTAACACACGCAGAAGAAAAGATTACGAAGAAATATTTGATGAGTGGGAAGCGAAGGACATTATTGAGGTAGTAACTGAGGAAAAGGAGGAAGGAGTGCACTACTTGTCACACAGACCTGTAATAAAAGAGTCTAGTGAAACTACAAAGATACGGCCTGTTTTCAATGCATCTGCACGTTCTAAGAATTCACCCTCTCTCAATGATTGTTTGAGTAAAGGACCAAATTTAATAGAAATTATTCCACGTATATTGAATCGTTTTCGAAAATATCGCATAGGAGTGTCATCTGACATCGAAAAGGCCTTTTGTCAAATCAAAATAGCAGAAAAGGATAGAGATTTTTTAAGGTTTCTATGGTTCGATAATCAACATAAGTTTAAAATTTACAGACATAACCGAGTTGTTTTGGAGACTCACATCAAGTCCGTTTCTGCTAGCCGCTACACTTAGTCACCTTTTGACTACAGTCCCAGAAAAGTTTGTAGAAACTTCTAATATTTTGAAGGATTCATTTTACCTCGATAATTCGTTAATTAGCTTAAATCATGTAGATGAAGCTGAAAATTTCGTTCAGAAAAGCAAATTGATTTTGGCTTCAGGGCATTTCAATTTGAGATGCGATCAAATTTTCGCATTGACATGATCGATGAGATAGAGAGCAAGACGAAAGCTGTCCCAGTATTAGGATTAGTATAGGATTTAGAAAAAGATAGTTTGAGTTGCAAGATCGAAGAAACATTTAACTTGAGGGAACCTATTACCAAAAGAAAAGTTTTGTCAATTACCAGAAAATTTTTGATCCCATTGGCTTTACTGCACCGATAACTGTAATTCCTAAGCTAATTTTGCAAGAAACATGGAACCAGAAGATTAAGTGGGATGAAGATCTTCCTCTTCCCCTAAGTGAGCAGTTTGGGACTTGGTTGAACCAATTGCCTCTGCTATCTCAGATTGAAAATTCCTCGTTGGTTAAATATTGATTACGGAAACGAAGATACCCAGCTCCACGTTTTTTCGGATGCTAGTAAAAGAGCCTATGCCACATGTGCATTTTTAAGAGCTGAAACCATCGAAGGTGTAAAGGTTCAGTTAGTAAGCGCGAGAAGTCGAATAGCCCCTATTAAGGAACTTACGATTCCACGGCTTGAACTTCTTTCCTGTCTGATAGGTGCCAGGCTTGCCAAAACAATTCTATCAGATTTGAAACTTAAGAATTGTAGAACAGTGTTCTGGAGTGATTCTTCTACAGCTTTGGGGTGGATAAGAAGAGATCAAGCATGGGGTACGTTTGTTCATAATCGAGTACAAGAAATAAGATCGCTTACCAGAATATCTGACTGGAGGCATGTACCTGGAAGTTTAAACCCAGCGGATCTCCCATCGAGAGGATGTACTATTGAGCAATTACAGAAATCGGCATGGTGGGAGGGCCCATCGTGGCTTTACTTACCAGAAGACGAGTGGCCCCATGTAGAAGAAAAGCCTGATGAGGAACTTATAAACAAGGAGAAAAGGAAAACGATTCTGACTCTTCTAGATCATGGAGACAATTTGGACCGGTACTACAAATACTTCTCTTCATATAGAAAAACCGTGAGAATGATCGCTTGGATTTTCAGGTTTTATCACAATTTAAAGAACAAAGATAAAAACCTCACTCCTGATGTCTCAGTTGATGAATTGGAGAATGCTGAAAAGGCACTTTGTAGATTGGTACAGAAAGAATCATTTACAGGCATAAACGATCCCGCTATTCGTGCGCTGAGACCAATCGTAGACCAAAATGGAATTTTAAGAGCCAAAAACGAACGTCCTACAGCGTCAGATAATGAAAATTTCCGATATCCTATCATTTTACCTTCAAAACATATTCTTGTTGAGAGACTAATTTACGAGAAACATCTAGAACTCCAGCATGCTGGTGTCAGCACTTTAATGACAAATCTTAGAGAAAACTTTTGGATATTAAAATCCAGAAAAAGTATTCGAAATATTATCAGAAAATGTGTAAGATGTAAAAGATTTGTTTCACAAAGAGTGGAAGTCGAGCCAGGATTTCCACCCGAAGATCGAGTCAGAGAAGGGGCGACTTTTGAAGTCGTCGGTGTAGATCTAGCTAGTCCTCTCTATCTCCGTGAGGGGTCTAAAGCGTGGATAGTCTTGTATACATGTGCCATTTATAGAGCCATTCACCTCGAACTAGTTACTTCTCTATCTACAGAAACTTCCAATCTTTTACGTAGAAACATCCAATCTTTACGCAGATTCATTGCCAGAAGAGGTAGACCTTATGTGATATATATTCCGACAACGGAACTAATTTTGTAGGGACTAACAGTGTTCTTAAGAAAGTTAATTGGAACGCCATATGTTCAGCTGCTTCTATCCAAAGGATACGATGGAAGTTCAACCCTCCGACCGCCGCCTGGTGGGGAGGTTGGTGGGAGAGGCTTGTGCAAATGGTGAAAGAAAATTTAAGAAGAGTGTTAGGTCGAACGTCCTTAAATTATGAAGAATTATATACTATATTATGTGACTGTGAACAAGTGATTAATTCGCGACCTATCACATACGTATCAGAGGATAATCAAGATCCATCACCACTGACCTCTATGATGTTTCTCCAAGAATTGCCGTCATCAGGAGTTCCTGATATGGACTACGTAGATTCCAAAGAACTAAACCGCCGAGCCAAATACCGACAGAGAATAAGACATGATCTACGAAACAGATTTCGTAATGAATATCTTGGTCAGTTGAGACAACAGGCAATAAAGAAGGGAAAATTTCAACAGTTGCAAGTAGGCGATGTCGTTCTATTGGAAGACAGCCAGAGACGACGCATACATTGGCCTTTAGCCAAGATAGTCGAGCTTTTCCCCAGTAAAGACGGAATAGTTAGACTAGCGAGGGTCAAGACAAGAAATGGTATTCTGCTTCGTCCAGTGCCCCGGCTTTTCCCGTTGGAGATCTCTACTTCCGAATCCGTTGGCCCTCCGTTCCCCGACAGAGCACCTCGAGATAGAAACGACCATGCAACTGGTCAGGCTGATCAGGCTGCTAGTATTCCAGAACCTGCCTCAAGTCCTCGAGTGATGACCAGAGCTGGACGAGTTGTTCGGCCTCCTCATCGACTGGACCTGTGTGTATTGAGTTCCTCCGCATCGTCGGATCTCAATGGTGGGAGGGGATGTTACATCTAAACTCCGAACTATCAGCGCCTCCACATCTAAACTCCGAACTATCAGCACCATTACATCTAAACTCGAGAATAATACTACGTAAGAACGCAGTTAGAACTCTGAACCCGAACTTGAATGACTGTTAGCTGGAGAGCGTGTAATTTTATGTAACCTAATAATTGTATATAAAATTATATAACTGTATCTAAATATAATATCTTTATTTATACAGAAGTGTCAGTCTTTATGAAAAAGCTTGGAATTATTTAGATATTTCATCGAATAAGAATTTGGAATGGAACACGCTCGGCTCCCGGGTGAAAGAAAAGGTAAGAGATTTCTTTTTACCTTTTAGAATTCTATTGAGAGATACAACATAGCCAGTAATATTGAGTATAAGGCAGTAAAAATGACTATATAAACATGCACTTTCCTTGATAAAAATTATAAAAGCAAATTAACACTTTTTGGAGATAAATCTTTGCCAAATAGCATTGGATTTTCTCGGATATTTTCATTCTGTGGTGGAATATTAAAGAATCGTTAAGTTTCTTCAATTTTTACTCATCTAGAGATTTTGTAATGTAATAATATGAAACATTCTCATTTGCGGGAGAAGTTTTTGAAGAAATGAAATGTCATCAATGCTTTTCTATTTATTATGTTTTTATAATTAGTCCAAAGGGGCAATTTGTACAGAAAGACCACTTCGTTTTGTTTTCAAATTGTTGCCACCAAATATTAGAGCCTTGCATTATATTTAAAGAAATTAAATACTGAAGAATCTGCATAAATGTATATATGTTTCTCGCATTGTGATAAAACGACGGTACCTAGAGCCTTCCGATTTTAAATAACGTACGTGTCCACCCGCATATGGGCATATGAAAGCCCACACTTAGAATTTGTTTTATTATCTATTTCATATTTTGTAAAACTTTAACAAATTTTTGATTAATAAACTCCAAGATTTCGAAGCAAGCAATGGCAACACTGTACCCCTTAAAAAAACATTTTTATCTCCAGCGCGCGAGACTTTGTATCGGAAATTCTAAAGATATGCTCATTTTAAAATTATTTTGCGATATTGCTGTTGAGCTGAATGATAGTTAATAGATAACGGTAACACGCAAAAACGTTAAAAAGATGCCTCCTTGGGCATAATGTAAATTTTTAAATGGTTTTCAATGCACTGGTTAAGTTAAAGAGTCTTGCTCATTTAATTATTTAGCACATTCAGTTATATTTCTCATAATTCGAAACTTTTATCATGTTATTCGATGAGGGGTAGGGCTATGGCGCCCAGGCACCCTGGTGGTTAAGCACCGCAGTTCAACATAATAAGTTAAAGAGTCAGAAGGAGCGCCCTCTACAGACCAGCTTTCGAGATTTATTAGTACTGCACGGCTGAACGTATGTTTGACAGGTTGACGTTTTCACTGTCTTGATTTGAATCTCTCTTTCTATGTAGCAGTTTAAATCCGTCAGCGCAAATTATTGATGCTCCATTTGTTTGTTTTTATTTTCCGAGCTGCGGTAGGTTGTAAAACATTTAAGTTGCTCTGTAATTACATTTGCTAGTATATAATTTTCTAAATCAGTTTTTATACGGGACGTATTTGAAAGAATCTTTGAACTAGGTCCATAATATTAGATGGGAGTGGCGAAGTTAAAACCATGTTGCAAGTCGATTTTTTAGTGATTCTGTGTGTTCCAAATTATTCTAATTCCAAAAAAATATGTGTCCATGAATCTTGATTAAGAGGTGAGTGTCATTCTTTTCTTGTTTTTAATAATTGGATATTGTGTTTGTAGAATACAGTAATTTATAATTATTCCTGTGGCTTGTAATTCAGAGTACAATTTACATGTTCTTAATTTGCAACTTGACGAATACAAAATCGGAAAAAATCTTAAATGGAATTCTTATATTTTTCATTTCACTAAGATTCCTTAACCCTCTCCTTAGCATCTGACCATCTGTAAATTTTAAATAAAATTCTATTTATCTATTTCTACAGTCAGATTATTTAGAGTGAATATTCAGAGGAGTATGTCAGAGCATTATTCATAACTGTATACTGGGTCTATTTTTTGTAAAAGACCGCAAACTGCATATGTATTTTCAAGTACTTTTTGCAGACCTTTTATTTCACCTCAGTTATATCCCAATTTAATTTTTTTATGTAGTTTGAGATATTTCCACTTCCTTAGTTGAAGTTTATTTATTATCATTGAATGAAGGATCTGACTTTTTAAAGGGTTAAAAATGAAATAAGTGTTGTTTTTGTTTCATTTTTCCTTTACTTTTTTCAAATTTAATATAAAATTTTTATTAATCATTTTCTTCATTCTTATTATTTCTTATACCAAATGTCATGTTAGAAGATACATGGTAATATTATTTCTTTTAGAGTGGATTTTAGATTTGGTTACATGCATGAATATATACGTATGAATGCTAAATACATTTATTGAAATTTAAGGTACCTACTAAATATGAAAATCTTTAGTATTTTAACTAAGGTTATATAAATTACTTTAATCTTAGAAATATTTCTAATAAATTGGTGTGTTATTTGTTTTCGAAGTTGAATGTAATGTTATTTGCATTGTATGGAAAATGTTTATTGATTAGGATACTGCGTTTAATGTAATGTTGCTATGCTAGTAATTAATGTTTACTGCCAAATCATAAACTACTATAGTGATATTAAGTTTCCAGAAGAAATTTATATAATGATCTGTATTCAGTCAAGACAGTATAATAATTTTAAATAGTAAAACAAAAAGTTTTGAGAACAATATAGTTTTATTTAAGTATGTATTCTTGCCATCACATTTTTAGAGTGACTATTCAGATGAGTATGTCAGAGCATTATTTATAACTATGTTTATAACTATTATAATAGTATGTTATTTATAACTATTATAATAGTATGTTTATACCAGAAAATGCCCTTGTGACTTGTTTATCATCTAAGACTGAAATGGCATCTATAGTTGAGTTGCTTCTTTTGCATTTTTAAATAGTAGTTTTTGAAAATATTAATGCTACTAAAATATGGAAAATTTTCTATATATATACATGTATATATATTGTAGTTATAGCATATATTTTTATTTAGTGGAAGTTACTGTGAGTATAAATTAACTAATGTGTCAATCTGAGAAAGATTGACACCATTGACACATATATTGACAAACTGACTTTTTAAAGCCATCTTCATAGTTACCCTTCCATGTTATGTACATTTCCTAGACTTTTATGGATTTATAGCATTCATTCAGATTGTTTTAGTGTAACTGTGTTTAATTAACAGAAAATAGAATATTGGTAACCTGTTATTTGTGCCTTTTATGCTTACTAGGAACATAATAATGTATACAGTTGTTATACTTTCCATGATAATTTGAAGAAAAAATATTTTTGATGTTTAGTACATCATAGTGTACATTATTAGACTTATGATGATTAGTTTGGTCATAAATGTGCATGTTTTATGTTTTTTAGCCTTCTTTACATAAAGTATACGCTGACTCTTGACCAAGGAGTAAAGTTGCTAAATACTGGTAGTTTGATGTGGGTTCAAATCTCAGCAAATGGACTGGCTGCATGGATGTTTTCTTGGTCTTACCTATGTGTAATGTAGATATATAGTTTTCGTTAGAAAGTTCCCCACAAAGGCATTCTTCTTCATACACAGGTAGCCCTCAAATTGCTTTGCCTTAATCGATTAATCTACCTAACGTAAAGATCACATAAAACTGCTATACTAAGAGAAGGATTTTGTCAAAATAGGAGTTAATCAGATATTTATAATTCCAACCTTTAACTTCTCCTTTCTGTTTCATCACCAGAATGTAAATTGTGTTAGACAGTATTTAAGCTTAGGTTTTTGGATTGTAAGAAAGAGTATGTTTCTGCCCCTTGTTGCCACATTATGTAGTTCCTGCCAGCTTTGATAAGTTTGTAATTATTCCACTTTGCGTTACTGTTGCTGACATTTGAATTTTTATACTAGTTAGAGTTTTTGTGCCAGTTTAAATTTAGATTTAATTGTGTAAGTCTTTGACTAATAGTCTACATTTTAAATTAAAATTTGACTGTTACTATAGTTGTATTACAACATATTGTGGTTTGACTGTTACTATAGTTGTTGATCTTGTTAGCATGAGAAAGCGCTTTTATGTTTAGAGTTTGCATTTAAGTAAAAAGGTTTATTTTAAACCTTTCGAAGACTTTATAGCTAATGTCAGACACAATGAAAATTTGCTTTACATCTGTTAGGAGTCTGGAACTCATTTATGCTTCCAAAGCAAGCCAGACTCAATTAAAATTTGTATTTTAAATTTTAAAAGTAAATTTTAAAATTTATATATATATTTTAAAGTTTTTAGCCATGTTGAATATGTTTGATGACTTACCATAAATATCGATAGTTTAGGAATGTTTTTTTAAAAAGTCTCGAGAATCGCCGGCTTGCACCTGATAACTAACTTTCATCTTTTTACCATAAAAAATCACCAAATTATGCCAAGATGCTACGTTAATGCATAAGTACCCAAATTTGAATATTACAATTTGAAAATTAGGTTTGATGAAACTTTTTTTTTTTTTCTTTTTAATTTTTATTTGTATTTTGTGTACATCAATTTGAAACTATCATACGATATTCTTTTCAACTGTATACTGCGCAAAAAAAAGGGGGGCAGTTCGATATCTTCCGTTCGGGTAGAGTAGACTTGTATTATGGCGAAGTTGTTGTTTGATTTATCGCCAAATTGCTGTTTCATTTATGGTAGCCTGAGTAGTTGAATGTTATGGAAACCCTATTGTGGCGTAATCGAGTGCATGATTCTCGGAAATTTTGAATTATGGGATGTTTTGTAAGCGTTTTTGTGGTGTGTGTATGTTTGATTCTTTAGACGGTAGAATGGCTGATTATAGTAAGATTAATTTGAACTTTCTGTACGATTTGGAGCGAAAGGGGAAAAGAGCTTTAATTGACTGGTGTGTAAATGAAGGTTTACTTAGTAGCCACTATAAGTGTCCTGCATGTAGGAAGGATATGCGTCTAGTTGAACATAAAAACCGTTTAGATGGATTTGAATGGGTTTGTAGGAAGAAAGGTTCAGATGGTCACTATGTGAAGCGTTCGATCAGAAAGAGTACATGGTTTGAAAAAAGTCATTTGAGTATGATTGATATTTTGATTTTTACGTGGCTGTGGGTGTACAAAGCGAATTTGAAAATCATGGTAAGTGAATACAGTCAAAAGTCGTTAATTCGGACACCCATAATCCGGACCTCAAAGCTAAAAACTTTCTGCGCATGCGCCGCATTGACACATGCGCATAGGCGTTTACGCGTGCGCGTAAGACCTTTTACGACTGCGCATGTGCATTTTCACGTGCGCGTTTTATGTATAACGGACGGTATACGGTAAAATTATCTAATTATCTATTTCAGTTAATGTTGATGATTACGTTGTTCCTTAATCTTCGAATTGGATCCAGCTTATTATTTTTTGCAGACTGTAAGAGCAATATTATAAAAGTAAACTTGAACTTTGGATTATGTCAAATAGAATTTCCAATTCTGGAGCTCCCAAAGGATCGTACAAAACGAAAGTATGTTTCAATGTCCATCAAACAAAAGGTGGAATTGCTGCAAAAAATGTATAAAGACATGAAGAATGTGACAGAGAGGTTAGTGAAAACGAAAAAATTTCGATTGACAAGTTAGTCGGTATTCTCGGCACAGCAATTAACGGGACTTGAACAGCGGAACTTTGTAACACAAGAAATTATGTCTGTTTATAGAATTAAAGAGAAAGTATTGTCACATAAACGAAGCAACTTACATTGAAAAGAAATGTTTATTAAGTAAACAAATAAATATTAAGCTTTTTTTTTTTTTTTTTTTTTTTTTTTTTTTTGTAAATTTTAATACCTTTTAGATCATAATTTTTCTTTATTTCATAAATTACGGTTTCATATTTTTAATTCTAGAATTTCTGCATGCCATCTTACGAGATTTAAACTGATGATCTATAACCCGGAAAAATTGATAATCCGGAATCGCCGAAGTCCTGACGAGTCCGGATTAACAACTTTTTGACTGTATATGCTTTTGGTAGTGCTTAAATATATAACATGTTTTTCCTTGTTTATGTTATTTTATTGTTTGGTTTAAAATGTATTTTATTGAGATTATGTATTTTTTGTTTGATTGGTGCTCCTTTGACTTTTTAAGTGAAAATATATCGATGTGTACATGGACAAAGTGAAGGGAGTGCGCAATGCAAGTTTGTGCAATTCTGGGATTTTTTTTAAAGTGAAAATAGGTCAATGTGTACATGGGTAAAGTTAGAAGAGTGCGCAATGCCATTTTTGTGCAATTCGGGGATTTTTTTTAAGGGAAAATAAGTCGATGTGTACATGGATACCGAGTTTGTGCAATTGTTTGTCTTGTTATTTTGACTTTGTGTAGTGGCAATTTTAGGCAAAAATCGCCGCTTCACAAGCCAAAATAACAAGTCAAAGAATTGCACAAAATCGGTATCCATGTACCGCCAAAAACTGCCAAATTTCGCCAAGGGATATCCTAAACTATACTTTTACCCTTCCGTTCTACTCGGCCGATTTGACGAAATTCAGATTACGTTTTTCATGTCTCGAAACTGCAACTTAGGATATATGTTAGATTTATATATAGCATTAATCTAATATAGGTATTTTGACACAAAATCAGACTTTTTC